TGTAATGAACCCGGCTGAATCAGTTCATACGAAATGCATGTTCAGGGTGTATAGAAACACATGTAAGCATTTCTCACATACTCTGAAAACATGCTTAAAAATGCTGACAAACATATTCCCACACAAAACTGTTTATCATTTAATGATAGTCTTAGCTCATATATAAAAAATAAGATTAAGCCATATCATGTAGAGGCCTGCTCCTATGAGTAGAAAAATCAATAACATAACAAAAAGGATATAAGCCATTAAAGCCCTGTCATTTATAGCAATTTTTTACGTTGAAAAAAAGCCTTTATTTGCTGACTAATTACGCCTTTATAATCCTATGAAAATGCATGCTTTATTTAAAGAGGGACTCACAAAATCCTAAGCTGCTAAAGAAATTACGCTTCATAAATAAAATAATACCCAAGCTCTCTGGGATTATAAAACATCAGTTGGACTGATCTATCTGAAGAAAAAAGCTTTGTATTTACAATTTCCTGGAGGGGAAAAAAAAAACACTTAATATAAATCTGTGTGACCATGATTTCATCTGTTACACTTTTTAGAATAAAAACAGATCACAACATTTATGTGTAGGGCAGGAAAAACATTAAATGAATTGAGTTTGACATTCTTGTGTTCAAGATTAATTTAAAGGGTGAAATGTATGTGCCCAAATCCATTACATGAAAATAATTCATTATTTTCTTTGTTAATATTTTTTCCTCTTCAAAGCAAAATTCAAATTCTTGAGTGTGCCACATCTGCTAAGGACAAACAGGTTAGAAAAGCTGTTATTTCTCCCAAAGTTTAATTCCAAACTCTCAGAAGGTCACTCAGTGAAAATTCACCAAGATGAATGATGGGTGCATCTCTGATTTGCCTGTGTTTATAAACACTAGAAATTTAAGGAATTTAGTGTTTTTGAGCTACTTACCTTTCTTCTGGTAATTTGCTTCCTTCACCGCCTTCAGGCAAATAAATTAATCTGTGCTCATTGTCTCAGGGGAGGATGAAACAAAAGCAATGTGCTCCCCCAGTCCAGTCTTAGAATGAAGAGGACTCAGGGCCCACACAAAATGTCCAAAAGAAGTGTTATTCATTGGCCACATGTCCGTTGCCTGCCTTCTCTGTGCTAGGCACAGAGCTAGAAAGTGGTGATCCAGCAGTGAACAAGACAGGTCTTGGAGCTTAGGTTCTAGTAGTAAAAGCAGGATTTTCCATCCCACCCTGAAGAATAGAACTTACCCTGGACTGAAAGGAGAGGGGAGGAAAAAAGGATTGCTGAGGAAGGGCAAAGTGGGGTCCCCGAGAGGGGAGCCCCAGGTCCTGCTTCTGAGTCAGAACCCCTGCAAAGCAGCAAAACGGGAGGTAAGTTGGGGGAACTGACTATTTAGGAGAACTGTGCCCTACTTCCTGGATTGTAACCTCAGGAAAGGGACAAGAGCCAAATAGGTTATGGCTGCACAGTGTGTCCGGGCAGATGGAGCCACCATCCACCTGATATTTCCATGCCACCAGCACACAGAAGCATCAGAATGACTCTTAAGCCCTCAAGCGTGGAAAGAACTATGGGAGAGAGCAGCTGGACGATGCTGGGACAAAGCATATTTAAAATAAGAGGCTTGATTCTTCCTGTTGGAAACAAGGGAAGAGATTTTTCTCTCTTCCTAAATTTTCTTTGAGCATTTACTTCATCATTACAAAAAATAAATTTTATGTCATAACAACATGATGTGATGGGATACATATGCACAGTAAAATGGTTACTCTGGTGAAGCAAATCAACATATCTGTCATCTCACAGTTACATTTTTGTGTGTGATGAGAGCAGCTAAAGTCTATTTATTTAACAAAAACCCTGGAGAGCATACAGTTTGGTGATATCTGGTTTGTAGGGTAAGTCTCTAAACTTGTTCGTCCTACATATCTGTCACTTTTTTTTAATTTCTTTTTTTATTGCATTTTAGGTTTTGGGGTACATGTGAAGAACATGCAAGATTGTTACAGAGTTACACACATGGCAGTGTGATTTTGTATACACTGACTTCCATCTCCCCATTTCCTAACCCATCCCGACCCCCACTCCTGGGAACCACTGTTTTATTCTCTGCATATTTGACCTTTTTCTTACATTCCACATATAAATAAGATCATATAATATGTTTCATACTTCACTTAGCATAATGTCCTCCAGGTCCATTTATGTTGTGACAAATGGCAAGATCTCCTTTTTTAGGGTGGAATAGTAGTCTATTGGTGCAGATACACACACACACACACACACACACACACACACACACACCAGTTTCTCTATCCATTCATTCATTGACACTTAGGTAGTTTCCACATCTTAGCTATTGTGAATAATGCCACAATGAACATAGAAATGCAGATATCTTTATGAGGTGGTAATTGCATCTCCTTTGGGTGAATACCCAGAAGAGAAATTCCTAGGTCGTATGGAAGTTCTTTTTATTTTCTTTTTTTTTTTTTTGAGATGGAGTCTCACTCTGTAACCCAGGCTAGAGTGCACTTTAAATGTGGCTTTTCCGAACTGAGATGCTATGTAAGTATAAAATACACTTGGATTTCAAAGACAGTATCAAGAATAATGTAAAGTATCTCATTAACATTTTATATTGGTTCCTGCATTTTGGACACATCAGGTTAAATAAAATGTAATAGTAAAATTAATTTCACTTCTTTTTGTTTCTATCATTTGATATGGCTACTAGAAAGTTTAGGCCGGGCGTAGTGGCTCATGCCTGTAATCCTAGCGCTTTGGGAGGCTGAGGTTGGATGGATCACCTGAGGTCAGGAGACCATCCTGGCCAACATGGTGAAACCCTATCTCTATTAAAAATACAAAAATTGGCTGGGTGTGGTGGCACACACCTGTAGTCCCTGCTACTTGGGAGGCTGAGGCAGGAGAATCGGTTGAACCCGGGAGGCAGAGGTTGCAGTGAGCCAAGGTCGTGTCACTGCACTCCAGCCTGGTGACAGAGTGAGACTCCATCTCAAAAAAAGAAAGAAAGAAAGAAAGTTTAAAAGTACATTTGTGGTTTGTGTTATACTTCCACTGGAGAGTGCTGCTTTATTTAGGGTGCATAAGAAATGCTGGGAGGCCTATTAAAATGCAGATTGCCAGGACTGACCCTCCAGGGAATCTAGTTCAGCTCTCCATGTTTTAGGCAGACATTAGCAGGAGCTACCTAAAGTAGCAGGAAGCATTTAATTCATTGCTCCCTGAATTTAATTTAGGAATTTAATTCATTGTTTTCTTCTCTCTCCTCCATTCCCAAGCCTAATTCTCTTCATATTTCTCAGTCTCAATTACCAAGAAAGAGAATCAGTTTGGCCTAGATAATCATCAATGAGCCTATTTAGTCAGAGCTTTCTGTCTCAGCCTACCACATAGGTCTCTGACCAATCTATAGATAATCAAGCTGTGACTGGCAGGGAAGGTGCAGGAGGTAGGGAGGGGCAGGTCAGGAATGACCTGGCACCTCTCCTCTCACCAGGGGCTGTGGGTAGGACAGCTCTGTTTAGAGGGGACTGTGAGAATGCCCAGCATAGACTGGCCTGGCCAGATGTGAGTTAATTCAGAAACTAAAAGGGCCGGACGTGCGTGCAAAGGCCCTGTGAGGGCTAGAACCTGGGTCTGATTATCCCCTGAACTGTGCTCCAGACACAATTCAGCCAAAGCCGCTCCACAAATAACAATAATGATAGATTCACTCTCACAACATATTTCCATCACATCTAGCCAACCAGCTGGCAAGATTGAACCAGGAATTTAGGAGGGGAGAATGATAACGCAGCTGCAGATATGCAGGGGCAATACATGGAACACAGGCAAGTCATCAAAGAGCCAGTCCCAACGATGTCATACATCACTGAGCAACCTCGGGCAAGATGCCTCCACCTCTCTGGCCTCAGTCTTTTCATCTTTACAGGTTGGAAAACGTCAGGATTTGCAAACACTCGATGGACTGATACACTGAATACGCCCTCCGAAGGGTTCAAGTGATTGCAAAGATTGGATGGAATGCACATTGACTACAAAGGGCTCAAGGGTTCTTTTGGTGAATACACCAAAAGGTCTACTTCTTCATCCCTACTAAACACTGGAAATGTTAACTCGCAGCTCCCATGGTCTACAGCACTTATCTGTAGCTACAGCTTCACCTCAATACATCAAGCTCTATCAGGCCAGCAGTCCTCTATGAGCTCCACAGCATGCACTTGAGAGAAATATAGTCAGTCAGTTCTGAGCTAATGACAACTGTCAACTTAATCTGATGGTAGCTGTTTCCAATACTGTCAGAATGTTTAAGATTTACAACATACTCTAACGACCTACCATAGCATTTCTGTTTAAAAGCTCCAGACGGTGAGAAAAACTGTAAAAGAAAATTTTAACTATCATGTGTTGGGGCTCAGATTTATTTCCATGCAACATTTTGAGAAAACTAAATACAATTTCCTTTTTTTTTCTTTTTTTTTTTTTTTTTTGAGACAGAGTCTAGCTCTATCACCTAGGCTGGAGTGCAGTGGCTCACCTCTTGGGTTCAAGCAATTCTCCTGGCTCAGTCTCCCAAGTAGCTAGGATTACAGGTGCCACCACCACCACCAGTTAATTTTTGTATTTTTAGTAGAGACAGGGTTTCACCATGTTGGCCAGGCTGGTCTCGAACTCCTGACCTCAGATGATCCACCTGCCTCAGCCTCCCAAAGTGCTGGGATTACAGGCATGAGCCACAATGCCCAACAATTCTATGTTTTGCCCCATTTCCTTTTCACAGAAGTTAACTCCCCCTCCCCTCAAAGTACTCAATTTTTACAGGGAACCAGTACAGTTTTTTAAATTTTCATTTCCTTCATGAAGAATCTAACATTTCCACTATACCAATGAAAATAGAAGCGAAAAGTTTACCCTGTATTTGCATAATTAGTTAGAAAGACGAGAATTTCCATGGCCTCTGAAAAAGGAGCTCTGCATCTTTAAGACTCCGCGATGCTGCCTGCCCTCCTCACAGGCAGAGCAGACTCTGCCGCAGCGACTCATCCTATCGATAAGGTTCAGTTAGCCAAGGTGGAGGATGGGAAAAGAATGGAACTGTCCCAGCTACTCAATGAGATCAGGGCAAACTATGAAAAGATCCTCACCAGAAATCAGATAGAGACGGTGCTCTCAACAAGGATCCAGGTAATGATTTCATACAGACAGGCACCTTCCAGAATAAGGAGACAGTCCATGTCTACCCAATTCCTGTCCCGGCCTCTCTGAGGTACAGTATTTCCTTTTCAATGCAGCATCTATTGGGGAAGGATTTTAGCTTCTACTGCAATGTGACTGGGACTACAGGGGGAAATACTGTGATTATATTCTTAAATTGCCATTAAGTAAGTGTTGATTGATGCATTTGATTTTTATATAAATTGTGAGGTTCCTATCACTAACATGGGGTCAACATACAATAAAATGGTGCACTCTAACCTCTTACAGACATTCTTCAGGAATGAAGCATCCCAGATACCCTTCAAAGATATTATGGAGTTATTTATAGAGATAAATTAAATAACATCTTTAAAATGAAAAACCTTTAAGTAAGATTTATTAGCATGTGCACTTTCTAGAGATAAAACTAAGTAAAATATTTCTAAAAGGTTTCTATCATCTTTTTACCAGGCTGGTCTGGTAAAGAGTTCCAGTTTATAACAGATTGTTATAAATAGAAAGCATCTGAGTGTGTGAACATGGCATTCAGAAACAATGATATAAACTATGACAATCGAAATTCCCCAAATTGGTGACGATTCTCCACTAAGATTTTTGCTTCTGTACTATAAGATGACAAACATTTATTTTCATTACAAAGCTTATAATATTTAAGTATTTTTAAAAAGAGAAGGAGAGTCAACTTAGATAAGGACTAAATCTTAATTTCATAGACTTAGTTTTAAAGTAACAATCACCTTCAGCAATTAATTAAGGTCTCAAGTCTTTAAACAAATTTACAAACAAATATTTTAAAAACAAAGATTAAGAAATTTATGGGATTTTTTAGTTTACCTATCATATATGGGTTCAAGTTCTCTTCCAAGCCCTGAAATACAGCAAAAAGTTTACTTCAGAATATCACCCCCCCAAAAAAAATTGGTAGAAAATCACAGGCCTTTATTCTATTAGGAACTCATTTTTACTTACATTATAAATTTCACCTCTAGATAACATTTTCAGTCTTCATAAATGATCAACATCTTAGACTAAGCAAAGTCACATGTAAACGTTGGGATAGTTCATTCAGCTTTACAAAGAGAAGAAAAAATCAATAGATGACAACTTCTGAAAATTATAAACAAAACACTTTACTTTGTAGTAGTAGAAATATGAGTTTAGTTTACAAGTCACAGGGCCAAATGAGTAAACTCAAATGAAAAAGCAAGACTACAGTAGGTTTTATTTAAAGTGTCTTTTAACTTGAAACTACTTTACAGGATCTTTTCCAAATAATTCAGTCAGCTGAAATAAATTCAAGAAAGCCTGATTGTTTAATATTTTTAAAAAATTTAATAAACTATTTTAGTTACAGATTGTTGTATAATATAACACCCCCAAAACTCAGCTGGGACCTCAGTCTTCTTGGGGCATGATTGGGCTGGAACATCCAAGGTGCTTCACTCATGTGTCTGGCATTTTGGCAGGGCATTGCTGAAAGGCTGGCTCTGCTGGGACTTTCTCTCTCACTCCACGTAGCCTCAGGGTCTCTCTCCATCTGGCCTTTCTACAAGATCTCTCCAACAGGGTATCCAGACTTCTTACATATTAGCCCAGGGCTCCCAAAAGCATAGAAGTAGAAGCTGTCAGCGTTTCCTAAGACAGGCCTAGAAGTGGCACGGCATTCTTTCTAACTCATCCTACTTGCTAAAGTGAGACCCAGGTCAGCCCAGAATCAATGTACAAGGGGGCCACTCTAGGACTCACCTTGGGAGATAGAGTTCTTAAGGGGCCATCTGGGGACTGTAGTTACCAAACAAGCTTACCTGCTAGTTCCATACTCGAAAGCCACAGGACCGGCAGATACCAGCATTTTTCTGTTTTCTTCTTTCCAAAATTCTATCCTTTATCTTCTGCAGCTGCTCGGGTAGGTGTTGCTTGCTGCGTGACTCTGCCAAGTTAACACTAGGAACAGATTATCAACAAAGCCAAACAAATGTACGAATTTTGTTCTCAAATACCTTGCCCTAAACTTTATTCATAGACTTTCATTTACTTCAATGTTGCCTTTCAGCAATCTATTGTACGATAAAATTAAATTTTTTAATGTTAAAATGTATTTTTATAAGAATATTAAAAGTTATAAATTTTGCTTCAAAATACTACAATCAATTCTATATGTTGTTCCCACTGTTCCTGGGGCCAAACGTTGAAAATTCTGTCAACAGATACGTTCTTTTCATTTCAACATCAGCATAAAAACATTTAAAGCTAAATATAAAATATTACACTTGTTTTTTTAATATGAAAACATTTGGAAAACAATCCTTAGATAAGCCATTTTTGTTATTTATTCATTTTATTACCCAGATACCCAAAATTAACACGTCTTTTAAAAAGATCATCTTGAAAAAGGAAAATCAACAGTGGATTTTCTTCATATGGAAGTCATTTACGAGCCTTATTGCCTATAATAACTTAATTCTCTAAATTGCTAGTAATGTACTTCCTAGCAGTATTTACTCCTTGTCCCTATACCTGATACCAGGTTGATCAGTTTTGGGGGTACAGCTATTTATCTGTTTCTGCAAAGCAGCCTTCAAGAAAATATGGGGGGACATAGCAGCTAATTTTTCAATCCTTCCTCCAATGATCCGTAAATAGTGAAAAGCTAAGAATCAGAGATCAAAAATCTTGGTCCTGCAAACTGTTTTCATTCATGTCAATCTATATTTCCATATTTCATAGATTGTCATAGTTGGAAGGGATTTTTTGAAATCATTTTACGTAGAAGAAAACGGGCTAAGAACGCCACAGACTTGCTCACGTATTTAATTAGTTAACTAGGCGCTAGAACACACATTATAATCTAACAAGTTAAGAACAAATTATTTAATTCCCATACAATGTTTCTATAATTGCTTTTACACATCTCATTTTCAAGAGCACTCCTTGTTTTTTGTTTGTTATTGTTGCTGTTGGCTTTCTTGTAGCTAGAAGAAGACATAAGCAAAAAAATGGACAAAGATGAAGAGGCTTTGAAGGCAGCTCAAGCAGAACTCAAGGAAGCCCGACGCCAGTGGCACCACCTGCAAGTGGAAATTGAATCTCTCCATGCTGTGGTGAGAATGATCTCAAAAGTAACTGACACATCGAGTCCTCAGTGTGATTTGATGAAGAGAGGGAAAGAATTAATGTCCATTTATTTACCTTGAGAAACTGGAAATCAAGGCCACTGAATTCTATTCCTTATCCTAGTTGAATTACTCACCCCTCCCTCCATTATGGCAGTGGCTGTTATCAACTCACTCAAGGTCTAGTTCAGACCTGTAAAAATGAAGAAATGCTTTCTTATTACCTTGGGATTCTCTAGTTGCTGAAGTGGGGAAATAGAGTATTTGTAAAATATTCTATGTCTTAACAGTGGGGATTTATTTTATCCAAGTCATTGAGACATCTAATAAAAAAAAAAAATATTTAGACCAGACACTGTGGCTCACTCCTGTAATCCCAACACTTTAGGAGGCTAAGGTGGGCTGATTGCCTGAGCTCAGGAGTTTGAGACCAGCCTGAGCAACATGGTGAAACCCTGTCTCTATTAAATACAAAATATTAGCCAGCCATGGTGGCATGCATCTGTAGTCCCAGCTATTCGGGAGGCTAAGGCACGAGAATTGCTTGAACCTGGGAGGCAGAGGTTGCAGTGAGCCGAGATCACGCCACTGCACTCCAGCCTGGGTGACAGTGCAAGGTTCTGCCTCCAAAAAAGGAAAGAAAAATATTTAAGCATGTTCGGGGCAGGGCGCCGTTGCTCACACTTGTAATCCTAGCACTTTGGGAGGCCAAGGCAGGTGGATCATTTGAGTCCAGGGGTTCTAGACCAGCTTGGGCAACATGGCAAAATCATCTCTACTAAAAATACAAAAAATTAGCTGGGTATGGTGGCACATGCCTGTAATCCCAGCTACTCAGGAGGCTGAGGCATGAGAATCACTTGAACCCAGGAGGCAGAGGCTGCAGTAAGCTGAGATCACACCACTGCGCTCCAGCCTGAGCGACAAAACGAGGCTGTCTCAAACAAACAAACAAAAAAGTATTTAAGCATGTTCCTTAAATACCTTTTATGAGCAGTCTGCTCTGGCTTTGATATTCAACATACTATATTTTCTTGCTTTTTTACAAAGCTTACCTCTGAAGTATACTTTCAATAATTTAAAAATCAGGTAACTCAGAGTGATAATAAGTTAATCACACTTCAGAGGATTTTTTTTTTCAGTAAGAATTATCACAGGATGTCTTTGAAATAAAGTAAGCTCTCTAGTTATGTATATAAAATATAATTTTTTTAATGAGGGGTCACATACAAGGCTGTAAGGAAACACCTCTTGCATAGATGCAATATAATTATTGCAATCTTTTTAAAGAAAAAAATGAACATAAAAGGATGAAGATGGCTGGGCGCAGTGGCTCACGCCTGTAATCCCAGCACTTTGGGAGGCTGAGGCCGGCAGATCACGAGGTCAGGAGTTCAAGACCAGCCTGGCCAACATGGTGAAACCCCATCTCTACTAAAGATACAAAAAATTAGCCAGGCATGGTGGCACATGCCTGTAATCTCAGCTACTCAGAAGGCTGAGGCAGGAGAATAGCTTGAACCCAGGAGTTAGAGGTTGCAGTGAGCCAATATCACACCATTGCACTCCAGTCTGGGCGACAGGGAAACTTCACATCTCAAAAAAAAAAAAAAAAAAAGGATGAAGATATTGCATATCAGATTTCAGAAACACATTCTGTGTTACTCATTCATTGATGAAGATCTATACACAACAGGAAAGGGGCCTTGAAAACTCCCTACATGCCAGCGAGCAGCATTACCAGATGCAGCTGCAAGACCTAGAGGCTGTGATTGAAGGACTAGAAAAAGAGCTACAGGAAGTACGGCGCGGCATTGAAAAGCAGCTTCAAGAGCATGAGATGCTTCTCAACACGAAGATGAGGCTGGAACAAGAAATCGCAACGTATCGCCGCCTCCTGGAAAAAGAAGAAATCAGGTACCTAAATCCATTTAGTTAATGACAAGGGATCAGAAATACAGAACCACTTATGTCATTGTTGAGGTAGTCAGAGAAATTAAATCCAAAAAAGCCATCATCATTATGGTGTACTCACTGAGCTCATACAACAAAATAGGTATGCACTGCAAAGAATATATGGAAGAACCATTTCTAGTCTTCTAAATTAGGAACCAAATAGCCAAAGTCAGCTAGAATAAAATGTAAGCAATTCTAGATCACTACAAAAATGATCTTGTAGTCTTGGCCAGCTGCAGTGGCTCACACCTGTAATCCCAGCACTTTGGGAGGCTGAGGCAGGGGGATCGCTACAGCTCAGGAGTTCGAGACCAGCTTGGGAAATATAGTGAGACCTCATCTCTACAAAAGATTTTTTAATTAGCTGAGCATGGTGGCACACACCTGTAGTCCCAGCTACTTGGGAGGCTAAGGTGGGAGGATTGCTTAAGCCAAGTAGTTTGGAATTACAATGAACTAATCATGAAAAAGACCTTTCCTCAGCTGGGTGCAGTGGCTCATGCCTGTAACCTCAGCACTTTGGGAGGCTGAGGCGGGCGAGTCACCTGAGGTCAGAAGTTTGGGACCCAGCCAACTTGGCAAAACCCTGGTCTCCACTACTACTACTACTACTACTAATAATAATAATAATAATAATAATAATACAAAAATTAGCCGGGCAGGGTGGTACACGCTTGTAATCCCAGCTACTCGGGAGGCTGAGACAGGGGAATCGCATGAATCCAGGAGAGGCAGTTTGCAGTGAGCCGAGACCACGCCACTGCACTCCAGCCCAGGTAACAGAGTGAGACTCCATCTCACAAAAAAAAAAAAAAAAAAAAGAAAGAAAGAAAGAAAAAGAGAGAGAAAAAAAGAAAGGAAGGAAGGGAGGAAGGGAGGGAGGAAGGGAAGGAGGGAGGGAGGGAGGGATGAGTCTGTGCCTTCTAAGGATCACCCACAAAGAAAGCCTGGAAAATTCACAATCACCACAACCCCCTGACCAAGGTCTCACCCTATACCACGCATCAAACCCCAAAATAATAATAATTACTATAATGTAATTATATTACAAACATGGAAAGGAATATTATTTTGAGTCACGATTTTTAAAACTACCAGATGTCCTGGTAAGATATCAAAAGAGGAATTCTTATTAATTCATACGTCATAATCTGTATTGATTTATAAGGTCATATTGCTTTGGGCATGACATAACCTCCAATTCTCCATGTTCCCATAAGAAGAAATCTTTCTCCTTGCTTGTTTCCAAATTCTAAGTCTTCTATAAAACTAGATGAAAAGTAGGTAAAACAACTTTAGCCTATAATAAATCTTGACATTAAGTCTTTGAAAAACATAAACAATTAAAAACATACCACTTACTAGCTGAGTGACCTAGGGCAAGTTACTTAACCTCTGTGTGCCTCAGTGTTCACATCCGTAAAATGAGAATAATACTACTACCTACCTCATAGAATTGCTGTGAGGATTAATCGAGTCAATGTTTGTAAAGTGCTTAAAACAATACCTGGCACATTGTAAGTGCTATGTAAATGTGTGTGTATGCATATCATGTGTGTGTGTATATATATATATGTAACTAGTTAAATGGTTATAAATTTTAATTCCTAATCATTCAAGATCCTATATACATGTAACTATATAATTGTTAAATAAAATGGTTATGAATTTTATTTAATTCCTAATCATTCAAGATATTGATCAAATAGTCTTTAATATTTCCATAGTAAAACTCAAAAAAATATTATTATGCTACACTTCAGATATACAAGAAAATGTCAGAAAAATTTAATGACCACCCCTACACCCACTTCCCCCAGGTTAGGAAGTAAAATAGTTAAAAAAAAAAAAAAAAGAGTAAAATGTTTCCAATGTTGTTGAAGTTCCCTGGACACCTAAGTCACATTCCCCAATCTCAACCTCCTCCGTCTACCTGAACTGGCTTCTGAATTTGATGCTTATTAGTCTCATACACTTATTCATAGTAATATGTATGTATTTCTACAAAGTATGAAATTGTTTTGCATGTTATTCTAACCTTTATAAAATTAGCTGCAACTTCTTTTTTCACTCAATATTATTCTTAGGCAATCCATCCATAAAGATACAGTGTAGACTTAGTTCATTTCTTTTAGGTCAAAGAGTGTTTCTATTGCATGAATATACAATTTATCCATTCTCCTGTGTGTTTCAATTATTTGCTAATAGTGTTGCTCTTAAAATATAATTCTTTCCAATTTCAGATATTATGGTTGTATTCAAGGTGGGAAAAAAGACAAAAAGCCTACCACAAGTAGAGTTGGTTTTGTTTTACCATCAGGTGAGTTTCTGATATAAATAAACTAATTTGAAAAGTTAAGTACTATTTACAGGGATTACTTTGTAAGGAAATTAAATACTCTAAAGTAGAAAAAAAATTTTGAATAAAAGTTTCAATATAATTTGTTAACAGTAATTCAATATTGTAATTTAATATATCATAAATAATATTTTCACAGCCATTATAAATGAAATATCTTTTACTACAAAAGTCCCACAAAAGTATGAGAATGAAAACACAGAAACAATGACCAAACAGGCAGTCTTAAATGGAAGTACTGTGAAGGAGAGCACTGAAACTCATGGCACTATTCAGTGAGTAAAGAAGCTCTAAGAAATAATAATAAATATATGTAAAGAAATTAACTTTGAATAATCCCAATAATTATTCTTCTTTGTGTAAATGTTTCCAAACATAGTTTTAGTATACTGTGATTTTTTTTTTTTTTTT